CTGAGAGAAGAGATGCCAGTTCAGGTAGTGCATAGAGCTCGTCATGTGGCTCAGTTCAATATCCATAAAGGACACCGCAACGCGCTCGACCAAAGATGCAAAGTATTCATTTGATGTAAAGTTAATCAGCACGACACGGGCGGAAAAGGTGATTTTGCACAAGCAAATCAGTGTAAGCTGTAGCGTAACTCCACTCAATTATTATATAAAAGGATTAGGTTGTAAATATATATCAATATCTCATTTTATTGGTAGTTCTGCAGTCCTGCAACACCTGTACAATGTACAGTATACAAATACAACTTCTTATGTCACGGAGGCATATTGGGTAATCATTCACAACTGATTTATACATCGATAAAAATAACACCCTTCATGAAAGTCGTAGGAAGTCTGGCGAAGTTGTCAACATAACCTAAATGAACTGCTGATTAACAAACAAAAGGCAGGACGTGATGATGACAACACTCACATCGTTTGTTCCTAACGTAACATTATGATTTTAAGATTCATCATTATAAGGTCGTCAGTCCTAAGACTAGTTGGACACGCACCTCCACTCTGTCCTATCCTGAGCTAATTCGCATTTTCCTAAAACTGGAACAACCTACATCCTTAACTATTTACGAACAGTAATCTAATCTAAGGATATCTCTACCCCTCCTAACTCCCGTTTCGGCCTCTAATACATCTCTGACTAGATCTTTATGCCTGAAAAGTTGTCTATCTAACTACCCTGTCTCGCCTATTTCATATTGACTTTCATAGGGTCCTCTTTTCTCCTATTCTTTCTAATACCTCTTCATTTCTAACCTTTTCTATCCATGGTATCCTCATTATTCGCCTATAACACCACATTTCGAACGCTTCTACCCTTTTCTTTTCTGCCGCGCCCACTGTCCATGTTTCGCAGCCGTACAGCGCCGCGCTCCAAACATACACCTTTAAAAACCTTTTTCAAATTTCTAAATTAATCGTTCGCGAGAATAAAAGTGACTTCTTTTTATTGAAGGCGATACGACCCTGTGCTATCATCTGCTTCATATCCCTACTACTTCTTCTGTCCTGACTTATCTGACTTCCTATATACCTAAAATGAACCACTTATTCTAATTTTTCGTCCCCTATCTTTATGTTCGCTCTTTCCCTACTTTTTCTTCCCTTGCATACCAGTATTTTTGTTTTACTTTTGTTTATAATCATACAATACTGTTTTGTCAGTACCGCTTTTATTTTATTTAAAGCTATCTCTAACTCGTTTTTGCTAGATGCTAATGCTGCTATATCATCTGCAAATCTAAGCATACTAATCTTTTGCCCCTGTAGATCTATCTCTACAGTTGTACTATCTTTAAATGATATTGATCGCATCTTTGATGTATAGATTAAAGAAGTTAGTAAATAAAAAGAAATTACAGTTTTTAGCTCTTGAATATTGAGACAATTAACGAACCATTGTTAGTCTACGATTACAGTGAAAGTGGCGAAGTTTCAATTCTGAAATGTCGCGTGTTATTTAGTGAATATGTCAGCGACATAAAATAGGGAGGCTTTCCTATTTGTGGGGATCGGAACAAATGCAGCGAATTTATTTGTTTGTATCGCATGCTAAGGGACTATCCTGATAAGTTTCTACATTATTTCCGAAAGTCACAGTTAAAATTTGATTATATTTTACATACCGAAAGTCATCGAACGATATAATTATTCTATTTGAGACAAACATTTTTGTTTCTTTCTACACGCTATTTGGTTATTGTTAGTTATCAATCAAATGTAAAGAAAATTTCCACACCATTAAAAGTAGACCCTCACATTCCTATTATAAATTTCGTGTCGAAAAGCTTCCAGGAGAAGGCAGGACTAATTTTCACGTGACGATACTACGTGAGCAGTTCCGCAAAACTCATAAATAGTTTCTCCTCCTACCTCTAGTCTTCTTGGAAATTGACAAAAATTGTGACGTTGTATTTTTCGATTTTTTAAGGTATCTATAGCAACTGTACAATAACTATCAAAAATGACGTTGCAGTTTTTCTGTCATTTGAAGTAAAATCAAATACACTTCATACAAATTTATAGTCAAGTAAAGACTTCTGCTCAAAAATGACGTCCTTATTGAAAGCAAATTTAAAAATTTATAACGATAATGTTGTTCATGCATTTGGCAACATTCAGTTCGCCTAAAATAGCTTGAAATAGCACAATAATATTAACTGCCTCGACGACTTACTTTGTGTCGAAAACCTTCTGTCAGTAGAGAGTCAGTGAACTTCTTTTTGTATTATCACGATGGAAAGTGATTACGGAATAGGCATTCGTAACAGGTATGCGGTTTTTTTGGACGACGAGTCCGATCCAATTGATTTCATTAAAAAGAAAGAAGAAGAGAGGAAGTTAAAGAAGAAGACGAAATCATTTGAAAAAGAATGCAGAGTAAAAATTGAGGTACCAAACAAAATAAAGAAGACGCAGAGTTCTAAAGGCGACTCTTTAAAACCTTCTTCGCAAAAGGAAATCAAAGAAGAAAGGCAGACTGTTAAAGCAAACGACGATACCCAACAGGATTGGAAGAAACGTGAAAATAAACAACAAATAAACGGTCGTGGAGACGCTAAGAGAGACGATGAAAACATATTGACAAACAAGGAGTTGATTAGTAATTATGAAATTATTAAAAAGCATAACAGCAAAAACGCTAACTATCGCGGACAAAAAATGCGGAACCCAAAACGACGTGAGTTTGACAGACAAAGTGGGACAAACAAAACAGGAATTAAATCCATGGAGAAACGTGAAGGTAATGGAGCTTACAACTGGGGTTCCCACAAAGGCGTGATTGAAGAAGCTCAAACTCAAAATAACCTGTCAGGTTGGGGAGATGANCGTCCATTTTACTAAAGCAGCAACGTGGAAAAGTATATTATATCAAAGGTGTGATTGATATTATTACAGACAGGATAGTATTCGTGATAAGTATGCTACAGAGACTTTCGGATTCTGTAGCAGTATTAGGATATATAGCAAGGAGTTAGAGAAGCCTCAAATATAAGATGGAAACGATATTGACAGGAGACACTTGGAATGGGAATGAGTAAAAATAAAACACAAATAGGTATTGATATCTAAGGAAGAGTTGAAAATAGGATTAGAGCTAATATATCAACTGGAAGAAGTCGCTGATTTTCAATATTTATGAAGTCACATAATTCATGACGGAAAGAGAGGTTGGGATAGTAATTAGCACTTCTGTGCTCGCGAATAGTTATTTGCATATCGGAAAAGAGATTATTAAAAATGTCTTTGAAGTACCATCTTACATTCTCTGGTGACCACGTTTGAATTCTGCCTCCTAATCAGAAATAACAAAGCTTTACACTTGAATATAATGAGCGAAAAGGAATAAGTTAATTTTATATCTATATGTGAAGCTAAAACTTTTTTGAAAATACCTATTAATAATTACATTTGTCATTATGACTATGATTACTTGAATGATATATTAGTGGATTACGAAGAGTGAGTATTGATTACCTGCACGGAACATATCAAAATTATAAAACATACTTATTAGTACAAATCGACATTTTCGCCGTTCCGTGGATTAACGGATGATGCGGAAATCGATTAAACACATAAAGTTGCTTAAAAAGTGCCGATCATTATCTGCCATCAATCATCCAATGAAAAAGTACAACTTTTACACAGAAATATCAATTGTTTTCTGTAACAGATTATGGATTGGCACCGACCCAGGCCCTAAACAATTTGTCATGAATTATCTCAACCACGATAAAAACATTCAATTAATAAACCTATACAGTGGCTTCTTTGTTGCCGTCAAAAAATTAACCCAAAAAATAACAAATAAGGGAGCGTCAATGACGTAGGCTCTTTGTTTGAAATCCTTTTGTTATCTTACGTTTATAATCACCTTCCTGTCATGTACGTTTTATTTTAACGAATGCGTGATAATGGTATTGAACCTGAATGTAACAGCGTGGGTACCCCTTTTAAACCAAATAACAGANCGTCTTGTCGTTCGTATTTTGGAAACGAGGAATGCGGGACATTGGGGACGCCTTAGACGATTTGCGGGACTATTTTATTAAATATTGCAATGCGGGATTTCAACTGTCATTACGGGACGGTCCCGCAGAATGCGGGACGGTTGGCCGCCTTAACGATGGGAGGTGGAAGGAAATTTTTATTAAGAACTAGGGTGAGTCTTCCTTTTGATTTATTTAATGCTAAGTAACTAATACGTATTTAATAATACCTTATAATATGTATACGTTATTAGATTTGTGAAAAATTTGAATTGAAATTTTTATTTAACATATTCACTTGATAAGGTGTTTGATGTAAACTTCCAAAAGCTATTTTGTTAGAAATGAAAACCGAGAAATATTTATATGTAGGTATATAGGACTCTCAGACAGAGCTGCAATAGAATAAAATCAAAAACGATTTTTCGTCTGAATAACCAATTTTTTTTCACTCAAAAAACAATGGTCCTAAAATAGCATACACTAATGGACGCGTGTACAACAGCTTACAGATTAATTAGTGATTAAAGGTACCTACATCAAACACACGTGTGTGTAGATACATGTATTCAATATTACTGTTAATGCTTCGTCGGATAGCAGTCAAAACAGTGATATGCTAATGGAGAAATCAGGTCTGCAAATGGAGATTACCGAGAAGATGATTAGTTATGACTTTAAATAATAGGTACCACCTTTGATATTGAATTAATGGGACTTGACACCAACATACGTAGAAATGATTTACCTACAATAGAAATAATAGAGAATAGAGAATTACGAGACAAATTAATTAATAACTTGCTGTTAAAGGTGTATACTATAATATTTTCATTTGATCCTGCCAAAAGATGCAGATCATACAGGCTGCTTGCTTTGTTCGGATTTATTCATACAAAGAACAAGTAAAAAAGTTAGTCATCATCATCATCATCATCATCATAGGGTCGTCAGTCCTAAGACTGGTTGGACACGTACCTCCACTTTTTCCTATCCTGCGCTAATTTTCGCATTTCCTTAAAGCTAGAACAACCCATATCCTTAACTATTTGTGAACAGTAATCTAATTTAGGTCTACCTCTACCCCTCCTAACTTCCGTTTCTGCCGCTAATATGTCTCTGACTAGACCTTCATGCCTGAGAATGTGTCCTACTAACCTTTTTCGCCTATTTCTTATTGACTTCTATAGTCCTCTATTCTGCTACTATTTCCAATGATCTTCACTTCTAACCTTCTCTATTCACGGTATCCTCATCATTCGCCGGTAACACCACATTTCGAACGCTTTTAACCATTTGTTTTCCGCATGCCCACCGTCAACGTTTCGCACCCGTACAGCGCCACCCTCCAAACGTACACCTTTAACAAACTTTTTCGAATTTCTAAATTAAATCTAATTAAGTTGAAGGCGACTCCTCTGCTTTATATCCCTATTACTCTTCCGTCCTGACTTATCTGACTTCCTAGATATCTAAAATCGGCCACTTCTTCTAATCTTTCGTCTCCTATCATTATATTCGCTCTTTCTTTACTTTTCCTTCCCTTGTATACCAGTTTTTTTGTTTTACTTTTATTTAGTTTCATACATTACTGTTTTGTCAATACCGCTTCCATTTTATTTAAAGCTATATCTCTTAACTCCTCCTTGCTAGATGCTAATACTGCTATATCATCTGCAAATGTAATCACACTAATTTTTTGCCCCTGTAGATCTAGATATTGATCGCGTCTTTGATGTATAGATTAAAGAGGTTAGTAANATGAAAAAGTACAACTTTTACACAGAAATATCAATTGTTTTCTGTAATAGATTATGGATTGGCACCGACCCAGGCCCTAAACAATTTGTCATGAATTATCTCAACCACGATAAAAACATTCAATTAATAAACCTATACAGTGGCTTCTTTGTTGCCGTCAAAAAATTAACCCAAAAAATAACAAATAAGGGAGCGTCAATGACGTAGGCTCTTTGTTTGAAATCCTTTTGTTATCTTACGTTTATAATCACCTTCCTGTCATGTACGTTTTATTTTAACGAATGCGTGATAATGGTATTGAACCTGAATGTAACAGCGTGGGTACCCCTTTTAAACCAAATAACAGAAGTGGGGAAGTCAATAGGAAATAGGCGAGATAGGTTAGTAGGACACCTTCTCAAACATAAAGGTTTAGTCAGAGACATATTAGTGGCAGAAACAGGAGTTAGGAGGGGTAGACATAGGCCTAGATTAGATTACTGTTCGCAAATAGTTAAGGATGTTGGTTGTTCTAATTTTAGGGAAATGCGAAGATTAGCTCAGGATAGGAAAAAGTGGAGGTGCGTGTCCAACCAGTCTTAGGACTGACGACCTTATGAGGATGATGAACAGAAATATTTGAATTTTATTAATATGATTTTTATTTTGTATCATTGATGAATAATTTTCTACATACGACAACAGATAGCAAGTATTTTATAGCGTTCAATGAAAACAATATTTTATATCACTTATTGCCAAATATTTTATGCAAATGAAATCGTTTTGTTCAACTTTATTTATATACTAGGGTCCATTTAGTAGATATTATTGTGGCAGAAAAATAAAAACTTAAAATTTACCAAAATACCTAGTATATGCACAGATAAGACATGTTAGGTTCTGACCAGTGGTCGGCAAATTGGGACTCGTGAGCCATTCCTTTACCTACTCGGTTTTTCAAACAACAGAAACTCATATCATGAAAAACATAAGGTTTCCTGAAATCGAACTAACGTAAAGAACTATATACACCACAATTTTACCTTCTAAAATTTTTCTACCTTCTAAAAATTGATGAATCCTTTAACCCGAAGAGCATACCAATTTCTTTATTGAATATCCAGGGTGTAAAATAGCGATTATTGACTATAATCCTCATTAATAATAATTGATATCTACAAGGGTTAACATTCATTTGTTTGTACTGTTAGATAGGTATGTACATATAGAAGGTACGATTCGGTTATCGCAATTATGAAAATCACATTACAACTGCAGTTTACTTGATAAACTGGCCTGAGTACTATTGGATATTCATGTTCTTTGAATAATACAATCGAAATGGCCTATTACGTATTCAAATGAGTTTACACTACTATACCTATATATGCGCACGTTTCATCCATTTTCCTAGCATATTTCCTATATTCAGCGTGTAACCATTGTAGATAGGTATATTAGGTATATAATGTAAATATACATAAGACAGTTCGGCGTTAATATTACTTCTTAAGTTTTCCCATCAGTTAGAAGAGCGAAATTAGCAAGGAAAATTGTATTGGTAACTAGGGTGAGTTTTCTTTTTGATCTATTTATTTAATTCTGAGTCACTAATACGTGTTTAATAATATCTACCTTATAATATATGCATACGTTACTAGATTTGTAAAATGAAAAATTTGAATTGAATTTTGTAACTTATTCACTTGATAAGATTTTTGAAATAATCGTGCAGAAGCTATTTTGTTGGAAATGAAAACCAAGAAATATTTACATGTAGGTATATATAAAATTGGAATATTTTTTTTATATTTTATTTATTTTATTG